TAAAGAAATTCGTAGGTTAAAAAATTTTTAAAATGATTTTGCTGTCAAAATCGCGATATCGGAATTTTTTTTATTGTATTCCAAAATAAATTAATAAAAATAAAAATAATTGAAGCTTTAAAGTCGATCTGAGGTTTGTCTTTGTAAAATAGTACATTTTTTTGACTAACAAGAAAATATTTCTTAAAGTTATCCTCCTGATGAAAGCAAATGGGCTCTAGCAAAATCAATTATTACTGAATTTCCTTCTCTAAAAGATGACGGAACTGGAGAATATGGATGTGTAAGTTATTTTAATTCTAACCTTTTAATATTTTTGTGCTTTAAATTAATTGTATATTTAATTTTTTAGGAATACTTTTTTGACAGAAAAAGTAGAGAAGGATTTATAGAATATCGTCTGTGGAACTCCAGAAAAAATTTGACGCCTTCAAAAAAAAAATATCAAAGTGCGGCAAAAAAGAAATTAGCTGTAAATGTCTCACGGCGTATTTCGTTAGATGATCCGCTTAAACTAACACTAACCGATTCACAAATGGATGAAAAGGTATAAATTTTTATTAAATTGAACATTCATTGTCAAAATAAAATATTTAATTAAAAAATAACTTTTTTCTATTTCAAATACTTCTTAATGGGTAATAAATTGTTGTCATCTGATAAATTCCGGTCACATAATATATTCTGCATTTTTGAAGTATTTTATAATTTTGTTTCAGATGTCATGGATGCAACTAACATTGCCCATACCAGAAAGAAAACAAGAGATTTTAACAGTTTTGCAAGAAACCTTCTCTAGACGAAGACAATGGATTTCAAAAGAAAGCCCTACTATTACTGAAATAGTGGACAAATACCCACGTCTACTAGATTATAATGGCGACATGGTTTGTTATTATTTAATTATATAATAGTTGAAACTATTCCTTATTTCAACTTTCATTATTATATTTTATTCACATAAATTATTGTAATTAAATTTTTTTAAGCTTCGGTAATATTTTTTTAATTTTTTAGAAAGTCTATGTTTTTGAAAAACTATATTACAACGATTCGACTGAAGTTTAATATCTAGTCACATTTTGTGAAAAATTTAAATCTAATTGTTAAATTGTTTTTAAGTTTTTAAAAATGTTAATCACAAAAATTTATTACAGTCATATTATAAAATAAAAATAGAAAATGATTTTTACATTATTTTGTGAAATTGTTTATAAAATATTATTCTTATCATTCATTCCATGGCTTCTTTGTTACAGATCAGTCAAGAGTATAAATTATTATTTGATAATGATGAAGACAAAAACTTTTTTGGTCGTTTTCCGACCTTTTACGCACCTCGGATATTAAAATATTGCGAAATTAAAAAAAATGATCTTTATAAACAAGCTGGTATCATCAAGGATGGTAATTTTTCAAAAATATATTTCTTTGTTTTCATCTAATTTACCCTGTTGCTAACATATCTTCTTTATTTTACATGCATATGCAGATACTTTGAAAGCTTTATTAATTCTCCCTGAATTATTACCGGTAACAAATTATACTCAACGAAAGCGAAAAAATGATGGAACAGTGAAAGGTAAAGGAAGTCAAGCCAAAAAAAGCAAATCTTCAAATGGATCAACGAGCGAAAACGCCAAGAATGAATTCACAAAATTTCCGAATCCAGATTTGCTTGTAATAATGCCGGTAAGGAAAACCATTTATATTGTTATTACTTTAATATTTAATGAAAAGTTAAGGTTTTAAAATTATTACTTCAAAATATAGTTTAGATTTATCTGAATTTTCAGAAATTAATTTTATATAAACAATTTTTTAAAAATTTTAAGTAGCTACGGCATTATAAAATCATTTTTGAAGTACAATATTTTGAAAAGAGTTTTTTGAAGTAATTTTTTTATTATTATAAATTAAAAATTATATTAAAAAACTAGTAACTTTTATTTTTAAAAAAATATTTTTATTTTAGGAAGGAACTTATCTGCCAGGGTCTGTAACCCAAAAGCGCCTGAATAGTCAAAAACCTGTGCAGCCATACATGATTCTAGTAAAAGGACAATGTAAGGATAGATTCTTCTTACAAGGAGATGGCTGGTATATAGAAATGAACGCAAAAGTTGGTCCCTTAGTGGTATTTGATCTCTTATTCAAACTTCATTACGCCTTTAATGTTTGTTATGCCGATTCCTTACTTCTTTTCTATAATTTTATGGATGTTTTTTTATATAAGACATCAACTGCTGCTCGAAACTCTGTTTCATCTTTGAACATTTCTTTAAAGAGTTTAAATTTGGATAACAGCACAGATGATGAAGACGAATGCATGGACTAAACTCCAGATAATTTAAGAAAAAATTCTATATAAAAAAATTATTTTTTTGTTTGTATAATGTATTTTCATTGCGTATTAATATGACGTATCATATTTTATTTTTGTGAAGACAGGTTTAACTTTTTAATGTATAAAGAGTTCAATTAATATTATGTGTTTACTATTGGCATTTTATAAAACATAGTACGAATATTGTTCCTGGAACATTTAAAATTTGTTTAATTATAAGTATTTCAGTTTCAATTCAACTCTTGTATAAGAGTACACTTCTCTAAAGAAAATTTTAATATATTATTCTAATATAAATAAAAACTCATTTTTTGATAAAATCTTGTACCACACTTTATTATATTTGCTACTTTTTTAATGTATTAGGATTTCTTCAATACTGTTCCAATGTGAAATAATATTGCAAATGTGAAATAATTTATATGTGTCAAAATAGTGAAATTAAGAAGATTATTAAATTTTAACAAATATTATAATTATTATATTATTATTAATTATCTTTGTTAATTAATTATTATAATTATTATTATAATTATATTATTATAATTAATAATTATTTGTCAATAATTAACAAACAATAACATTATTAATCATTATTGACATTATTATAATATTAATAATATTATATTAATTTAAATTTTAATAATTTTAAGAAATAATGGTGAAGAATTATTTCAAATTGACTGATTAAACCAGTAACCAAATGCTTAGCATAAGTTACTGAAGCATCAGTCATTTCACTACTGATTGCATTAGTGATTAATTATTTACTGTTTCAATCAGTAATTTTTCACTGATTTCCAGTGGAAGACTTTTCTTTATTTCAATCAGTGAAATTTGACTGACAATCAGTGAAATATAACTGATTCAGATTTAGAGTGTATATTTGTAGAAAAAATGCTTAAATTCTGTGAGCCGTACTAAAAAAATTATAAATAGTAATTTAAAAACTAAAAATACCACTTTCGCAGATAGGGGAAAAAATTCTTCAATCATCAGAGATTGTAATGCAAAAAAAAAAAAATTAAAAATCGAAAGTGTCTCTTTTGAGAAAACTCACTTTATAAGTTTAATTTCAACTTTTTTGTTGTTTCTGTTTTAGGTACGTTATTTTTGAGTACATATTTGAAAAATTTGAGAAAAAATGAACAAATTTCATATATAGCATAATTTTTAATTTCTTAGTACAATAGATTAAAAAATGTTCCAAAAACACACTTTCTTCGTTGACGTTAAATTTCAAAAAATCATAACTTCCTTCATTTTTATCAAATAAAAAAATAAAAAAATACGTATTTCCTTATTTTTCATATAGATTTCGAAAAAAACTGTTTTGGACAAAAAAAAATTTTCAATGAAAATTTCCCATAGAATGCCCCATATATATAAATAATATATACAATGCTGAAGTACACAACGTTTATAATAAACGATTTTTAAATAAATAATTTTTTAGAATGAAAAATTCTATAATTTTTTGCCTGAAAAATATTTCTTGTACTTTTTATTAAGGGTATGTGGGCAAAGGACGTTTTTTTGTGGTTTGAAAGTTTCTCTGATATAAAAAATGATTTTGGGTTAAAATTTTGGTGAAATGATTTTGTTTGGTACAAGGAATCTCGCTGTTTTACTCATTTACCATAACTTAACGTAAAAATAATAAAAATAAAGCAATAAATAGTAAAATAATGTATTATATCATAGTTCATTCAGCGGCCACTTGCTCGAATTGGCGCTGTTTACTGGAGCACTGACGCACTCAAGCAACGTCTGTGTATGCGCCGCCATCTTTGTTTTCATTTTCGTTTAAAAATGACACTTTTTAAACTTCATTTTTTAATAATTTTACTCAAAATTATGTATTTTTCGGAGAACAACGAGATTCCTTGTACCCTAATCTATCATCCCTCAAAATTTTAGACAAAAATTTTTTCTCATTTTAGAGTGAAATCAGGGTGTCTAACAAGGATTGAGAAAAAAATTCCCTGACTCCTCCCTGACATTTTTTTATTTTCCCTGACTTTTTAATAACCTTATCTCTGCTTTCTTTGGACAAAAATATGGTTACTGACATATTTAACAATAAATTAATTTTTAATAGTAGTAAGAAATGGTAATAAAAACCATTAAAGTTTTTTTAGATTAAAAAATTTTTAAATTCACAAAAAATTTTAATTTTTGTAGAAATTTACAGAAATTTCCCTGACTTTGAATGAAATTTTCTGAAATTCCCTGACCAACAAAATTCCCTGACTTTTCCCTGACCGTTAGACACCCTGAAAATGTATACTACCAAAACACATTTTCCCATACTAAGTCACGTGGGAGGTTCCCACATACCCTTAATCAACAAATTATAAAAAAAAATATTTTTTTAGGTAAACAATTTTATAATTTTTTTGTGGTAAATAAAAATTGATTTCTAATCGTTGATCATAAACGTTGCGTACTTCAGCATCGTTAATATATTACATTAAAATATTGTTAATTATATGCAAATAAAAATAATACAATTAAATTTATATAAATTAATGAGGAAGTTAAAAAGCGAATCTTGAAATTATTAAAAAAAAAAAAAAAAAATGTTTCCGTATAGTTTAAATCACAAATGTAATTATTGCAGATGATGTGCAGAAAATGACAAGTGACTTACCGTGAATATCATTCACACAAATATGAAGATCCTCTCGAAATACCGGAACTTCAACATTGCACTGGCACGAGCACGAGCTGACAGGAGCATAAAGTCTTACATTTGAAGGATTACGAAAAAGAGGAGTAGCTGTTCCACTGCTGAGAATTTTACACGCCTTGGAACATGATCCTGTGAATAATAATGTGAAATTTTTATTTTCCATATACAAGATATTAGCATTTTTAAAAAATTAAAATTTTTCGAAAAATTCAGAGATTTTTTTTTTAAGAATCATTAATAAAAAGAGTCCAATTTTGAAAAATTTTAATTTTTTCAAGCTTTAAGAAGAAATGTGCAATAATAAAAAGTAAAAAATTTTTGTTGTTTTTGAAATATGTTAAAGTTGAATTAATTTTACGCAATTTTGTAAAGTTTAAACAATTTTCACTGTCTAGTTTTGAAAATATTTGCAATTAAATTAACATTGTGTCTTATGGAGTTAACATCTCTTAACCTATAAATCTAGTTTTTTTTGAACACTTTCAGTAAAGATATAATCCTAGAAATATGATTTTTTGATAAATTAAACCTCCAAAATAATGTAAAAAATTTTTAAATGATACTTCACCGTCGATTAATATATGAAAAAGATTTTTAAAGTGAACAAAATAAATATTTCAGCAAAAGTTCCGTGAATAACATGGCAACATTGCATTTTTTTAATTAAACATAATTTGGCGCGAAATTTTAAAAACTGCTACACAAAATCTATAAATAAATTAATTTCTGACGTCATGTTTGTTTATATAATGTCATCCATGACAGTAAAATATAGACTAAACACTGCTGAACCCAAACCCAAGCAGCACGGTATATTCCCTGAATATCCATTGAATACCACAGTGGAATATTCTCATGATCTTCTAGGAAAATCAAAATGTCCGCATCATGGGAATATTCCATAGTGACATTCAGGGTGTATTCCAGTGACATTGAGGGAATATTCCTCGGTGACATTCATGGAATATTCCAGTGACATTAAGGGGATATTCAGGTGATATTGTGAAAATATTCCAGTGATATTGAGGGAATATTCCACGGTTACATTGAATTTTTTTTTTAAAATGTGTTTTTAATCTTCCTGCTTATTCAAATAACAATTTATAACACATTTCTATTATTTCAACACTAAAAAAAAATTCAATATAACCGTGGAATATTCCCTCAATATCACTGGAATATTCCTTTAATATTACCCTCAATGTCACTGGAATATACCCTGAATGTCACTGTGGAATATTCCCATGATGCGGACATTTTGATTTTCCTGGAAGATCATGGGAATATTCTACGGTGGTATTTAAGGGATATTCAGGGGATATACCGTGCTGCTTGGGAATATATGATGCAAAAAAAAAATTAAGTTTCTGCGTTTATTAAAATTTTAAGTTTAAAATTTTAAGTGGTCAAAATAACAGTGGTGCATTCCCCTAATAAATTGGGTGAAGAAATAAATATAAATTAAATAAATAACGTCATTATATTTACCTATAGGTATATATAATTGAATTTTGAGGAAATATTGAATGAAAGAATATAATTCATTTTGGTATGTAATTATTAATCACTGTTATTATAATAATTGAGTTAGCAAATTATGCATTTTTCAAAATCATTTTGTCTTTTAAAGATGAATTTCAAAAAAGAAAATGATTTAATATCATTCGTTCGTGCAGACAATGACTATCGTATATTACAAGCAAATTAACATATACATACGAATATCTTTCCGAAAATGTGTGTAAAAAAATATTACGCAAAAATCATATATAATTGCTTTATATAAATTGCATTTTCTTGCAAAAGAAAAATGATAAATTTATACAAAGTGAAGGTTCAAAAAAATTATTCTATAAATTGTCGTATTCTATAGTACTTATAAATATTACTGCATAGTTCCGTAATTTTTACATATAATTTAAGAATATCTACTTCAAAAAGTTCCGTCTTTTTTCCAAATAAAAGGTCTGTAATAATTACAGATTTTTGCACAAATCTTCGATTTCGGTAATTCTTACAGAACTTTTTTTACGTATACGTGATATGTATATTTCCATTAAAAAAATTATTTTTGCTTGGAATAAATTTTTTTCGATTCTGGTACAAAAAAAAGGAAAGTACTTTCTTTTTATTTTCACGTTAAATGGAAGTCATGCATTTTTAAACTTAACATATTTTCAGAAACAAAGTATACTTCTGACTTGCGTTAAAAAATGACTTTTCTCAAAACCGAAAACACTGATTTTTGTTATTTTTTTTTCTTTTGATGTTTGCTATAAATATAAAAAGTAGAATAAAATTATAGAAGGTTATTTATTTTCATTTTTAAAGAGAGTGTGAATAATAAATAAAAAATTGAAAACCAATAAATGATACTAAATGAAAAGTATATATATATATGCTTGTCAGAATAATGTCTAACGGGATATTTGTAAGAATTGCTTCTTTTGTATGTAAATGTCAGTTTTTTGGTGTTCCAATCCTGTCATACGAATGACTTTCAAATGTAACATTGAAAGATTGAGTGCATAATTTTTTCTTACAGAAGATTGAACACAACGTCGAGTGCAGACAGTCAGAGTCAGTCAACTGTCAGATCCTTTTATCTTAACTTTTCAAAAACATTTTGGCAATCTTTTTATATACATATAATCCACGATATAATCATTTATATTATACATATAAAAAGAATTTATCTCATGATTTTCTATATGTACTCTCTTTTAAAAATTTGGTGATAAATTAATAATTTAAACAAAAAATAATTTTCTTTTTTACAAAGAACACTGCAAAAAGAATTATCTTATTTTAAGATGTTTTGGTAGCGTTTTTAAGATACTAAGATGTTTAAGATGTCTTCATGTCTTGAAAACGCTACTCTCTAAATTTGAATCAGTGGAATTTCACTGGTAAACCAGTTATAAGTATATCGCTGGTTTCATTCAGTGAAAATTTCACTGAAAATCAGTGTATTTTCACTGTCAATCAGTGAAAATCAGTATATCAGTATACTTATAACTGGTTCACCAGTGAAATTCCACTGATTCAAATTTAGAGAGTATCAAAACATCTTAAAAAAAAGATACTTCTTTTTGCAGTGAAGAAAGGGACCTAATTGTAAGAAACTAAAAATGTCGTATTTTACACTGACAAAACGATTTTTTAGTTGAACCATATTATACTTAATTAAAATTTAGTGTATCTTTGTTCTATACGGTATAGTATATTTAAAAAAGTTGGGTAATTTAAACAAATTAAGTAAATTTAATTCAATAATGGGTAAGTCCACGTCAGAAATATCAGAATCTGCAAGTGGTTCTTCGATTTTAATGTTACTTGGTAAAATTATAGCTTTATATAAGAGCAATGTGTGAGTAAAAGAAATTTTTAAAATATCTAAAATTGTAGGAGTTATAGCACTTTTAATTTTGATACTGCATTTTTTTCTTTCCTTTATATCTCGGTCAATTTTCAACCGATTTTGATGAATCAAAAACGATTTTTTTCAGAAAATTAAGTTTTTTAAGAAAATTTTAAAATAATAATAAAATTTTGTTATTTAAATAGAAAAAAGTAAAAAACAAAATTTCTTTTAGATTTTTTTTCAATTTCGGCCTCTTTTTTTTAATTTTTAATTTTTTAATAATATTCCTTTTTATTTTATCTTTAATTTAAAAAAAAATTCATCCTGGAGACTTTTTTAGATCTCGTGATATCGTCCTTTAAGTATTATAAGTCTTCATCAATTTGAAAACCGCAGGACTTGCTTCTATCATTACTTTCATTTGTTTGTTGAAATTTTTTATGGTTATGAATAACTATTTGTTTTAGAATCCTCTAAAAGAAAGCGCTAAAAACTTCAGCTACAATTTCAGGTTGCATTGTTAAGGTTTCATTACAATTTATTTTAAATTATAAATATTACAAAAAATAAAATCTTTGCTTCAAATCTATAATTAAAATATTGATTTGCTTGAATTTTCACTTGTTTTAGTCAAGAAATTTAAAAATAAAAACATTATTACGCGAAAGTTTCTAGTTTGTAACAGTAATATTATAAAACAAATGAAAGTAGAAACACAAATCTGGATCCTAGTTTTCTTGAGATGTGGATATTTAAAGAACGATATCACGAGATCTAAAAAAGTCTCCAGGATGAATTTTTTTTTAAATTAAAGATAAAATAAAAAGGAATATTATTAAAAAATTAAAAATTAAAAAAAAGAGGTCGAAATTGAAAAAAAATCTGAATGAAATTTTGTTTTTTACTTTTTTCTATTTAAATAACAAAATTTTATTTTTATTTTAAAATTTTCTGAAAATACGTAATTTTCTGAAAAAAATCGTTTTTGATTCATCAAAATCGGTTGAAAATTGACCGAGATATAAAGGAAAGAAAAAAATGCAGTATCAAAATTAAAAGTGATATAACTCCTACAATTTTAGATATTTTAAAAATTTCTTTTACTCACACATTGCTCTTATATAAAGCTATAATTTTACCAAGTATCATTAAAATCGAAGAACCACTTACAGATTCTGATATTTCTGACGTGGACTTACCCTAATACTTTTTTTTTGAAATTAAACAAAACAGTATTGAACTGAAAATTCAAGATACGACATTTTCATGTTAAATAAACAATACATTTATTTTATTTTTAAACCGGTAAAACTAAAATAAATATAACCTATATAATTTTTTACTTCATAAGTTCCTTCCCAAGTAGAAATGTGCCACTGGCATAGTACTGACCCAACACTGCCAGTCAGTATAACGGTACTGACTGCCGTACTGGGCCAGTAGTGGACCAACCCTGGCTGGTAACGCTGTCCAGTACTGATTTTGTCCCGCTCACCAGTACTAACGTAGTACTAGAATAATACTGGCATAATACTGGCAAAGTACTCATCCGGACTTAAAATCTCACTTTTTTACAAAATGCTAAAACACGCTTTCCAATGCGCAAATTTCATCCTTATTAGCTTATTACTCCCATTTTTACCACGAACAGGTAATGTGAAGCCAATAATAGTTAACGTTATTTAGAATATATAAAATATTATTAACAATAAATAATTAAAATAATAATTATCATTTATATTAATTAAATTATTTTATTTTTAAT